CACCCACCAAAGAAAACGCACAGAATTAAAAGGACTCAAGGTACCCATGAACAAATATAGAATTGGGGCAGCTAGGTGGTGCTGTGGATAGATCTCTGGCCTTGGAATCAAGAGGACCTGAGTTCAAATCCAGCCTCAGACACTTGTCACTTGCTAGCTGTGTGATCCTGGGCAAGTCACTTAACCCCGATTGCCTCACCAAAAAAAAAAAAAACAACCCCAAAACAAATACAGAACCAAAACACTCCAATAGCCCATCGGATTGATTAGGCTTCCCTAAGAAGGTAAGGACACTTTGTCGGCCTGTCGGACAAATGTTTCCTATGTACCTTGCACCTGCACCACACAAACATTTACAACAATGTTATAGAGGGTTGGCAAGGTCCAGGTTCAGGGTAGCCTTTACAGAGGATGCTCTTCTCTGAGTTTCATGATGCTAAGGGAATCTTCTCCCTCTTGGAGGCTGTTGCCTAAACACTCAAACTCAGGAATTCTTAATGTTTTGGGAATTCTCAAACTCAAGATTACTCATGGTGTAAACCACCCCCCTACCCCCAAAACTAGAATCACCCCTTCTCAGTGTGTCAGGGGTTGGACTCAAGCCCTTCCTATGGAGCAAAGCTTATGTTCTGGTCCTTCCACTGGGACAAGTACTGTGGCCATTTGCTAAAAGACCTATGTCACTAGCAGGTCCTGGTTGATTCCCATGTGTCCCTGTGACCGGAGGCTGGGTCAGAGATGATTGCTGACTGAACCAACAAGAACCTCACAGTCAGGATGCTATAAAAGGAGAGGAAAAAAGGCCTTGCTTCTTTTTTCTCCCTCTCCTTTGAACACACAACTTGGGACACTGCCAGATTTCTCTTGGATTTCCATCCAGCGAGAGGGAGAGGGGTCTTTTCTCCCCTTTTCACCCCCTCCAGTGGCCACGGCAGCTCTGAGCACATGGCAACCAGAACATGTACTTGAAGCCCAGTCCAGTCAAGATTAAACTTCAAGCCCATGACTACTTTCTTCTTTTGCCTTTCCTTCCCTGAGAACAAGTCATGGACAGAGGTCATAGAAAATGGATGTTTCCTGCCTTGGTAGATACCTCATGAACTCAAGGCTTCCCAAGTCTTGAGCTGGTACAGGGTGACTATTGGGAAAGGTTTCTTGCATCTCTGTGCACCACTCTCAGGAGAAACCCTAATCCAATCCAATCGAATAAACATTTATTAAGTACTTACTATGTGCCAGGCACCGTGCTAAGGGCTGGGGGTAAAACTAATAAAAGAAACAGTCCCTACCCTCAAGGAGCTTACAACCTAAACAGAGAGATAACACACAAAAAGAGGCAGGAAAGTGTGGGGTGGGATGGCACACAAAGGGGTACTCAGCCCTTGTTCCATGGAGTTGAAACAAGGCTGGGTAGCAGAAGCAAAGCGGAGTGAGCTCAGGATCCATCAGGTCCTCTATAAAGGAAGACACTGAGAAGAGTTTGGGCAGCTAGATGGCAAAGTGGATAGAGTACAGGCCTGGAATCAGGAGGACCTGAATTCAAATTTGACCTAACATACTTACTAGCTACATGACCCTGGGCAAGTCACTTAACACTGTTTGCCTAGTTTCCTCATCTGTAAAATGAGCTGGAGAAGAAAATGGCAAACCACTCCAGTATCTTTGTCAAGAAAACCCCAAGTGGGGTCATGAAGTCAGACACTACTGAAAAGACTGGACAACAAGGAAAGAGTTTGGTACTCTACCCCCCAGCTCTCCCATCAGAAGGGAGGGGAGGAAGAGGGAGGTAGTGTCCACCAAGGCTTCAGTGAGCAGCATGGTGGTGAGTTTAGAACCCCAAGAAGATGCTGCAGCTTAAAAAAACTAAGGAAGCCCAAACCACATCCAGAAGATCCGTCCTTGTGAGTCGCACAGAGTTGCCAGAGATAAAAGATGTTAATTCATCAGTCCTGCAAAAGTGCTTTTGCCCCTCTGGACAGTATTCAGGTGATGGATTGTTGTTTCATATTTGGCTATTTGTTAATGTGGGAGTATGAATTTTTTTGTTGTGTTTTGATAATTTTTTGTGGTGGAGGAAACAAAATAGCTGTTCAATACTCTATACTGACTTTGTCCATTGACTTCATATCTTTTCTAGAAGAGACCCTGTAATAATCCATCTTACAGGAGACCCCAGACAGGTGCCATACTGTGGTGGGAATAGTTTCCTAATATCCTCTCCCTACAAGCTAGGTCAGTTTTTAAAGAATGACTCCATATGCAGCAAATTTTTATAGCTACTTTTTTTTTGTGTGTGGTAGCAAAGAAGGGGAATACCTAAACAACTTGTGATGCATAAGTGTGATTGAATATTACTATACTACAGGAAACAACTAAGATGAATACAGAGAAGCATGGAAAGACCTACATGAACTGATGCAAAATGAAATAAACAGGGCCAGAAAAATAGTAAACACAGTAACTACAACAATGTGAATGGAAAGAACAACCACAAAGTAATAAAAACTGAATATTGTAAAATTATGGCCTCAAAGAAAATATATGAGGAAACAAATCCTCCTTTGCAGAGATTAGAGTCCATGGGTGTGGAACATTGTATATAATATATGCAATATCAGTATTATGTCATGTTAATTGACATTTTAACCTAATTGTCACTATAACATTATTAATTATTAATATAACCTTAGATTTTTAATGTGTTGGTCACTTTTGCTGAATTTCTATTTTTTCTTTAAAAATTTTTTTTAGTTAAAAAGTATCTTTCTGGGAGGCTAAAGGGGGAGGGATAGAGGGAAGAAAGTTAAATGATGTAAAAATTAAGATATCAATAAAAATCTACTTTTAAAAATGAAAATGGTATTGAAACTATCTCTGAGATTTAATTGGTTTATGAGACTATGACTTGTGATGTTAAATATGAGGTACTCCATCTCTTCTTGATGCTTGACCAGCAAACCATCATGGATGCACAGAGGCAAGACAGCTCAACTAAAGCCGAGTTCAATCAACACAATGTCTTCACTATGTATCTTTTATTCTGTTATGGCTAAGTAAATCTTTTTAAAAACTGTCAAATATTTCACAAATGTCTAATTTCATTCCACTATCTCACCTAAACTACCAAGAGACTGGCCTAAATTTCCTACAACACCTGACAAAGCCTAGTTTAATTGATTTTCATAAGAACTCCAGAGTGGGGGCAGAATGGGCCAGGTAGTGTGAGAAAAGCCTGACTTCCTTCTCCTTGGGATTATGCTGAATCCCGGCTGTGTGAGTCAACTGTAGGAACCCTATAATGAGAGGGATTAATGATGTTTAGAGAATGGAGGAAGAAGCTAAGGGAATGGATCTTCTCAGTAAAGGAGAAGGATAAATCATGTGTTTGAGAGAAATGATTATTAATAACCAATGATTTGGGGAGACTCAGATTTCCCCCTTTCTTTTATCCTCATTTCAAGACATCAGTCTCTAAAGGTTGAGTTAACCTTCTCTATCCAGACCCCCTTCAAGTGGGGTACCATTCAGGTTTAGGTGGGGATAAATTCTTTGACTAGATTGCCCACAGCTGGGGCTAACTTAGAAGTAAATGATGTAATGAAATTTCAGGTCCAGCTTCTCATAGTAATATCCATCCTTTCATTAATTGTTAACCAGGGGGCAGATAGCGGATAGAGCACTAGCCCTGAGTTCAAATCCAGCCTTAAATAAATAAACATTTACTGGCTACGTGACCATGGCCGTGGGTAAGTCATTTAACCCTAGTTGCCTCAGTTTCCTGATCTGTAAAATGAGCTGGAGAAGGAACTGAGCCTAAAATTATACTATTTATTCCTTTTCTGATTTAATGGTTTTCAGGTTTGGATCTTGGATATCACACTGCACTTCTCCTGTACTCATTATGTTCAATTTTTAAATTATATTTATTAGGCTATCCCTCCTAGCAAACTGTAATCTCCATGAGGGTGTAGCACCCCTTCTGGGCTTACTCTCCCAACTCACAATTGGCTTGCAAGTTCAATCCCTTAGAGGTCAGTTGCTACTCTTTTAGGAGTTAGGGGTAACTGTAAAGTTTTCTAGTAGTGCCACTCATGAACCTCTATCTATTGTGCTCCCCATATCAAGCAACCAGATAGCAGCAATTAGCTTTAAAAAGACAAATTTATTTAAAACATCAGTAGCTAATAACAGCTAACATTTATATATCATGTTAAGATTTGCAAAGTGCTTGCAGATATATCATTTTATCCTTATGACAACTGGGAGATAGGTGTTATTACCTCGCTTTTACAGATGAGGAAATTGAGTCACAGGAGGTGACTTTCCCAGGGTCATACAACTGGTAAGCTTGGAGTATCCTCCACCATTAAATGATAGCGGCTGGAAAAAATGTCTTGACTTTAAAAACTGTATCCCTAGACCAGCAATAGTTAAGATGAGCAGGTAGATATAAATCTAGTCCAGGACCCTTTCTTAGAGGATAACCAAGCTGTTAGCCTTGTGGCTCCTTCTACTCTACTCCAGGCAGGACTCATTGGCTTTCTTGAAGAGAGGTGAGGAAGATGAGGCGAAATCTATCTATGCCAACATGGGTAACAGTCACACTCCTTACATAAGGCAGAACTTCCTGGTAATTCGTGGTCCAGAACAGAACAGCCTGCTGAGAAGTTACTGAGCCTTTTGTCAGTGCACGTATTCGAGCAGAGAGGCTGTTTGATATTGGAGAGCACCCTAGATAGGGGCTCATGAGCGACTCTCAGGATCTCACTGCCGCTCTGGCAGAGTTCTCGTTCGTTCGTTTGTTTGCTCGTTCCTTCACTCTTTCTATCACTACTAGTCCTCCCGGCCAGGGAAGGGAAGCTGATAAGCCTGGAGATTACAAGGGAAGGAAGGAGGGGCGGGGCCTTGAGGCAACACCTAGCGAGGGAGGCCGGGAACGCGCCCGTAGTGGTGCGTACCGTGACGTCACCGCGCCCCGTGGCGCGGGAAGGGGGCGGAGCCGAGCCTGCAGAGCCTGCAGATGCCTGATGGTTGCCTGTGGCTGGCTGTCGGATCGGAGAGCGGTGGGTCCGGCCGGGACGGAGTGCATCAAGGCGGAGGAGCCCCTAGGGGCGTGGTAGGTCTACTCAGGTTTGGACCAAGAGCCATCGCTACGCTACCTCTTCTCTTCCTCCACCCAGAGGCTCCTCCTCCCTCCATCCCCGGCCATGGAATTCCCGGACCTGGGAGCCCACTGCTCGGAGCAGACCTGTCAGCGCCTGGGTGAGGGGCGGGGCCTAGAGGCCGGAACTTGGGCCGGGGCGGGGCCTAGAAGCGGCCCGACAGGGGGCGGGGCCCAATGGGGGCTAGAGGGCGGGCCTTAAGTGCAAGCGCTGAAGGCTAGGGAGAGGGCAGAGCCCTGGCCCGGGGCTGCCTTTGGGTGGGCTTTCGAGGGGAGGGTGCAGCAGACGGGGACCAGCTTCTGTGATAGAGGGGTAGTAGTAACCTAGAGGAAGTGCGTTGTCCAAAGAGGTTAAATAAGTCCCAAAGCGCAGCTGTGATGCATTATGTATATTTCCCGTGTGTGTATACACATACATGTACATGCACATATACACACATATAAAATGCAGCCGGAGACGTGGCACAGAGTGAAGGAATTGATGGCATGGGAGTGGGGGGTGAGAAGGGATGTGCCTAGGAAAGGGGAAGGTTGAGCTTTGCAGGGGGTAGAATGGGGGATGGCGTGAAGCCTGGAGAGATTGAAGCAAAAACAGGAATTTAGGTTTTCATATGAATGAGGCATGACTTAGTATTAGGAATCCTAAAAGACATCTAGACGCTGTCTCATCCTTTCAGATTTCCTGCCTCTCAAGTGTGACGCCTGCTCTGGCATATTCTGCGCAGACCATGTGGCCTATGACCAGCATCATTGTGGCTCTGCCTACCAAAAGGTGAGTTTAGACATCGATTGGAACTTGACCTTTTTTGTAGGGCGAGGGAGGAAGACTGGAAAAAAAAAAGGACCATATTGACATTATTATGCTCACATTATTACGCTCCTTCTGCAGCATTTGACATGCTTAAACACCTCATCCTTTTTTCATGTTCCCTCCTCCCTCAACTCCTGTGACAATTCTGGCTGTCTTATCTGTGGTCACGCCTGTCTCTGAGGGCTCCTCTTTATCCATTCCCTCCCTAAATGTTGGCATTTCTCAAGGCTTTTTCTCCATATACTGTCCCTTGATAATTTCATCTGGTCCCATGCCGTTAGCTGTTACTCCTGTGAGGCTGATTTCCATATCTGCAGCCTTACTTGTCCTGCTGGATATCGTCTCCATTTTTCTGAGTCATCCAAGCTCAATCAGGCCTCTTTTCCTCTTCCCTCTCTCTCTAGTCCCTCATATTTATTCAGACTATAAGCACTGTCAATTCTGCTTCTAAAATCTCTCAAGTATCTACTCCTTTCTTTTCTTATTACTCCCACTTGTTCAGACACTCATTGCTCTTCCACTGGCCTAATTGGTCGTTGCCTCCATTAGCTCCTCTACCATTCTACACCACTTTATACCAGGTAAGTCTTCCTAAAATTTATTACTAATCATGTGTTTTGCATAGCTCAGTCAGTTGCTCATTTTTAGCCTGACATTCAGAACATTCCAACCTATTTTTCTAGTCTTGAGTTCCACTTACAACTTATCTGACCTATCCTGGACTTTGCCATTTATGGGTTAGATTGCTCCCCCCCCAAAAAAAAACCCAAAAAACTGTTTAAATCCTGCCTTCCCTTCAGTACCCAAATAAAATGCCACTTTCTATATAAAAATTTAATTAATATCTTCAGCCAGATATCTTCCTCTAAATTATTATAGATCTACATATAGATATCTTTATATATCTTTTATGATACTACTTAAATTTGTCTTGCATTATGGTAATTTGTATTTATGGCTCATCATTCATACATTGTAATAGCTAGCATTTATACAGTGCTTTAAGGTTTGCAGAGAGGCTTACAAGGATTATCTCATTTGATCCTCACAATTACCTTGGGAATTGGTGCTATTATTATCCCCATTTTATAGGTGAGGAAGTGGAGGCAGACAGAAGTTAAGTGATTTGCCCAAGGTCATATAGCTAGTATCTGAGGCCAAATTTGAACTCAGGACTTTATGACTCCAGGTCTAGTGGTCTACCCACTGCACCACCCAGAAACCTGTCATATTGCTTGAGGATAGTGTCTCCATGTACACCTAATACGGTTTGTCATACATAGCAGATGCCCAATAAATATACACTGAATGAATGTCCTTACTCTATTTAAGCTTGAGGCTATGCCATGGCCGTTGTTTGATAAAAGAAGTTAGAGGGAAGGGTTCCCAGGGTCCACAGTTCACATCCTGGGGCTTTACTAGACTCTCTTCATTGCCAGAACTATAGTAGGATAAAGTGGTCCCCAAGATGTGCCTTTCCTTCTCTTCCTCCTGGCTGTAGGATGTCCAGGTGCCTGTATGCCCACTGTGCAATGTACCAGTGCCTGTGGCAAGAGGGGAATCACCGGACCGTGCTGTGGGGGAGCATATTGACAGGGACTGTCGCTCTGACCCAGCACAGCGCAAACGCAAGGTGAGGGGATTCTGTCAGCTCTCCATCCGTGCGGGAACCACTGATGCTTTGTTGCAGCCGACAGGAAGGCCTGGGAGGTTTGAGAAGGCTGGCTTTTTAGGTGACAGCCAAGAAGCGATGAGTGGGAAAAAGAGGTCCTTTGTTGTGGAGTGTCTTCCATCTGCCCTATTAGATCTTCACCAATAAATGTAGCCGCCCTGGCTGCCGGCAACGGGAAATGATGGAGCTGACTTGTGAAAAGTGTGGCCGAAACTTCTGCCTCAAGCACAGGCACCCGCTAGACCATGAGTGCTCTGGGAACAGAACGCCTTCCAGCCAAGCCGGGTAACTGTAGGAGTGTGCTTTTCCTACCCTGAATTTTGGGAATCACCCGGTACTCCCTTTGGGTTGGAATGCCCTTAGTATCTTACCTTACCTAGAATTACAGCCCCCAGGTCTGGTGGAGGAAACCCTCTGTGTTCCCTTGGGTCGTTTGCTATCATCTCCACCTCCTGCGAACTCCTTGAGAAGAGGGAAGGGGGGGGCGGGGATTTGTTCCTGGGGTGTATGTAGAAGGTATCTCTCCCCTGCAGACGTGCTGCTATCTCCAGAGCCCAGGGCTTAGGTTCTAGCACAGCCCCAGTCCCTGGCCCAGGGTCGGGTAAGACCTCACCCCTTTCTCATGGCAGGTATGTATAGCTCCACTTCTCCCTGACCTCTTTTCTCATCTGTGCTTCTGTCTCCATGCTGCTTGTTTCTCCTTTCTCCTAGAGTTGCTGAGTCACCGACTCACGCCTTGCAGAATGGCCTGGTGAGTTTAGACAGCAACAGAAGAGGGGGAATCGAATGGGTGGTGAATGAGAGAAAGATGGATAATTTGTCTCTCTGTAGAGCGAAGACGAAGCCCTCCAGCAAGCACTGATCCTGTCTCTGACTGAGGCCAAGCCTGCCGCCCCTAGGTACCTGCTATGAGGAGAACTGGGAAGGGGGTGGAGGTGGAGGAGCTGAGCTTGGGGATGAAGGGGCTAATGAGACTGTCTCAAGCTGACTCTTTACTCTCAGTACTCAAGAGGAAGAAGACTTAGCTCTGGCTCAAGCATTGTCAGCCAGTGAGGAGGAATACCGAAAGCAGCAGGTATTGTGCTAAATAGGAACAGAAAGGGGAAGGGTTCTTCACAGGCTTTACCCCAGGGGTACCCCTAACTTTGCCCCTTCCTGTCTCTTTCTCTCCCCCCGCTTTCCTTGCTCCAGGCCCAGAGCCGAAGCCTGAAACCCTCCAACTGCAGCCTTTGCTAGGGCCCTGGGAGTGGGGAGGGAAGCTCAGCTGAGAGGGGCTGTGGCCCTCACACTTCCAGGGTCCCCCTGGAAGAGGCTAGAAGCTCAGAACAAGAATGATGGAGGGACTCCAGAGCTGGAAGGAAGGAAGACCACACCAGGAGTGCCTCTGAGTTCAAGGTGGCAGGAATCTCTACTGTTTACCGTGTCTGAAGGGTGGATTTGGCCTGGAGAGAACCAACCACCCTCTCATCCCTTTTTTCTTCTGTGTCCCCCATGGAGGGGTCATCCCTGGAGCTGTCTGTCCTTGAGTTGGGGGGCAGGCAGAAAGGACTTGGAAAGGAATAAAGCATTTTACCAAACAAGTGTACCCTTCTGCTTATGACTTTCTCTCTCTTGGGAGGGTACGGAAGAACCAAGCTTAGAGTGTCCGTCTGTGTAAATACAGAACGGAGCTCAGGTTTCACTCCATAACTTTATTTCTGAGGTCCCATTTCTCCTGCTGGGTGAGGTATACCATTCCCACAAATGTACCCCAAGAACAGGGTCAAGTGGGATGAGGAGCTGGATCTCATGGTTGTCTGGCTCATGATCCTCATAGGAACCTTTATTGAAGATCATCGCCTTTTGGTGACTGGCTCTTTGGGACGTTAGTTGCTTCCTCATCCTGTCCCTGTTGCTGCAGGTGCCACATGTCAGCATACACCCCTCCTCGAGCCAGCAATGCCTCATGCCTCAGAGAGGGAAGAAAAGAGTAAAGGTCAGGGTGGATCAGTACTTGGTCATCTTATCCCACAGATCCTTCCCTTTTTCTTGAACCCCCAAGAATGATGTTAGGAAAGAGACTGCACAGTTAATGTATTAGTTGGTTCTGCTGAACTCTTTTTTTCCTCGATATTTTAAACTTTGTTACAAGGAATGGCTTGATGGGGAGGGGAGAGATACAGCTGCAAAACAAACAGATCAATAAAAAATAAGATCTTTACCTTCCTCTTTCTACAATGCAACCATCCTTGAGCACTAGAATCTGGTCAGCATTGACCACTGTAGATAGCCTGGGAAGTCAAGGACACTGGTGAGCATAACTACCTCCTCCCAGGGAGAGAAAAGTCTCCGTGCCCATCTCCCACTGGTCCCAGGTCCATACCTGTGTGCCACCACGATGGTGGTGTGCAGGGCACAGACTTTGGCTAGGGAAGCCTGGATGGCCCTCTCGGTTGATGTGTCCAGGGCTGATGTTGCCTACAAACAAGAAGCTGGCACACTGACCTCTGCCAAACTGATTTTAGGGAAGCTGCCCAAAGGAGAGGCAGAAGCTTTTGTGACAGGAAGGAATATTGCGGGTTGGTGAGTCATGGAGAGGCTGGGGTTGTCAGAGACCAAAGAGGACTTGGGCTAAGAGTCAAAGGCTGTTTAGGAGTCTTACCTCATCCAGCAGAATGATGTCTGGAGCCTTGAGAATGGTGCGGGCGATGGCCACGCGCTGCTTTTCCCCTCCACTCAGCTTCAGCCCTCGCTCGCCTACCTGGGTCTCGTAGCCTGTGGACACCCAAGGCCTGCCTTTGGTCAGTGTTCCCCAAAGAACCGTGTTCTTCTCATCACTCCCACATCAGAGAAGACCCAGAGCAAAGAGCGGCTCTGTGTGGGTCGAGGTCTTGCCCATCTCGCCCTCTCCTCCCTTCACTTGCTCTGCCATCCAGCCATGCTGGCTCAGGTGCTGTTGCCACAACACAGCACTGGGTCTGTTCTCCCTGCTGGGAATGATTCCCCACCTCACCTGCTCCTCGTCATTTCCCTGAATTCCTTCAAGACTCAGCTCACATCTCACCTTCCCCTCTGAAATTATCTTTCATGCACTCTGTATTTATCTTGTATCTATCTGGGCATTTACATATTGTCCTCCCCTCAAAGTGTAAACTTCTAGAGACAAGATTTTTTTAAATTTAATAATAGCAATACCAGGAAATATTTATATGGCACTTACTATGTGCCAGAGGCAGCTAGGTGGTACTATATACTGCCAGGCCTGGAGTCAGGAAGACTCATCTTCCCGAGTTCAAATCTGACCTCAGACATTTAATACCTGTGTGACCCTAGGCAAATTATTTAACCTTGTGTGCCTCAGTTTCCTCATCTGTAAAATGGCCAGAGAAAAAAACTGGCAAACTTGCTCCAGTGTCTTTGCCAAGAACACCCCAAACGGGGTCATGATGAGTTGGACATAACTGAACAACAAAAGATGCCAGGCACTGTGCTAAGCATTTTACGGTTACTACTTCATGTGATCCTCACAACCCTAGGAGGTAGGTGCTATTGTTATCCCCATTTTACAGATAAGGAAACCGAGGCAAACAGAGGGTGTGACTTGCCCAGAGGTCAGATATGAGCTCGTGTCTTCCTGACTCTAGGCCCAGCACTCTATCCACTACGCCACCTAGACCCAGCACTTAGCACAGTGCCTGGAACACAGTAAGGACTAACAAAGCTTGAGGACTGACAACAAAGAGAGGCAGAGGGGTGGTAAAGCCCCTTAGGGGCTCAAAAGGTGGGGTACTGGGTTGGGCTGGGCAGGGGTCCCACCTTCAGGGAAGGCCAGAATGGCATCATGGATTCCAGCAGCCTGGGCAGCAGTTTCCACCTCAGAGTCCGAAGCCATGACTCGGCCATATCGGATGTTGTTAGCAATGGTGTCATTGAAGAGGACTGTGTCCTGGGGCACGACTCCAATATGGGAACGAAGTGAAGACTGGCTCACCTGAAGCCAAGAAAGCGGCTATCCTGATTGTCTAGGGCTCCCCTCAAGGCCTCGGTCACTCTGGGGCTGGGAAGGCTGAGGTCAGCCTCGTTCCTAGTCAGACGATGCCTTTAACCCAACCCAACATAGGAAATTGCCTCTAGCCTCTGCTACAGGCCCCTCTTCTGCACTCACCTGTGAAATGTCCTGTCCATCTATGCGGATATGCCCGGAGCTGATGTCATAGAACCGGAACAGCAGGCGCAAGACAGTGCTCTTCCCTGCCCCCGAGGGCCCCACCTGTCACGTGAGAAGTGATGGATACGCACTGAGCCCCACAGACGCTGCCAGGCCGGAATGCTGCCTCCTGCCCCTGCTCCCCCAAATCAGTCCTGTGACTTCTCCATCTCCCTCCCAGGAGACCGCACACATTCTCTCCCGTTCTCACCCACCACATCTAGGCCCCAGGAGGGAACCAGGGGTCTGTAGCGTGTACTCTAGGGAAAGGCTTTCTTCACCACGACCTTGTGGACAGGTTTGCATCATTTCCATTTTACAAATGTGGCAAATGAGGCTGAGAGAGGAGGCAGTGTGGTTTGGAGACAGGACTGGTTTTTCCACTGTACCACACTGGGGAAGGCTAAGGAAAAAAAGGGTGAGGCAAGGGGCAAAGAGAGCACTTCTCTCCTTACCAAGGCCAGTGTCTGTCCAGGCATCACAGCAAAAGAGATATCTTGCAAGGTCTCCCGCCTGGGAGAATAGAGATGGTTAGCTATTGGGTCATAACCTTCTCACTTCACTCCTTCCTTCTCTCTCCCTCAAAGAGAGAAGATAGGGGCAGAAAATACCAATGAAGAGAGTAGGGGTTGGGGACTCCATGGGAATCAGGGAAGAGCTAGAGGATCTCCCTTTCTGTGGAGGGGGATAGGGTTAGGACATTAGCATTGGGGAGCTGCAGGAGGTCCTTACCCATCTGTGTAGCTGAAATGCACGTTCTCAAACTCAATGTATCCTTTCTGAAATTGCAAGGGTAGGGCCCCCGGGATATCCTTCACCTAAGAACACCATGAACATAGCTATGGCTACAGGACTGCTTTACAGAGCCACAGTGACCATTGCCCAGCCCTCAGAGTAGTTCACTCTACTCACTTCAGCTTCTTCCTTCAGCAAGTCAAACATGTTCTCCATGTCAATAAAGTTGGTCTGAATCATCCTGAGAGAGAGAGAGAGAAGGCCATGTGTTGGGAGGAGGAAAGGAGCAGAGAGAGAAGGGGAGAGGGACAACGAAAGATGTGACCATGACAGCATAGGTGAAGGGTTTGGGGGCCAGGGACCACTCTACCTGTAGTAAGTGCCAAACCAGTTGAGAGGCATGTAGAGCTGTATGATGTAGGTGCCAAACAGCACGAAATCTCCGACCTTTAAACAAGGGAAAAGGTGTAATGAGCAGGGAGGGCTGCAAGCTATCTCCCAATGGTCTGACCTGTTTCCCGCCCACCACCTAGATAAAAGCTCCCCTTCTGCCCTTCTTTCACATTCATCCTGTCACAGCACATTCCCACCTTCCTCTTTCCTTAAGCCTCACTCACCTTGAGCTGTTGCTCACTGACAAAGTAGGCACAGAGGAGGGATCCGGCAAGGAGCCCAAGCCCAATAACCAGATTCTGGGTCTGGTTTAGCAGAACCAGCGACGCATTCGACTTCCATTCCAAACTCTGAAGGACGGGTGATAGGAGGGGAAGGTATGTCGAGTGCCCACATAGCCCTGGATGCCTAACCATGACGAGGCTAGTTCCAACGCTGCTCCTGTCACCCCCGGCATCCCGCTGAGTGCTCAGAAGCATCCACCAGCCCAGACCTTAGCTCTGTGAGCCTCACCTGGTACTTGATGATAGCTGCTTTATATCGCTCCACCTCGTAACTTTCTGCATTGTAGTACTTCACCTAGGGAGGCCAAACCCTACTGTAGCACCTGGTGCCTTAGATCTAGGCCCCACCAATGCTTCCCAGAGTCACACCCATGGATACAGGACGGTAGGAGACAGTAGGTGGAAGGGACCCTAGAAGTCATTTATCTAGTCCAACTCCTTCATTTTACACATGAGGAATGGAAGCCTAGAGGTGAAGTGACTGGTCTGCAGCCATGCAGGAACGAAGGGGCAGAGCCAGGCAGGAGGCTGGCTCCTCCCAACATTGCCACCATCCCAGGCTCCAGACTTGCTGACTCCACGTGTACCATCCTGAGTGCTAAGCCCCATTACCGTCTCGAAGTTGAGCAGAGAGTCCACTGCTCGAGCTCGTGTTGCATTCTCCTGTGTATTCATATCACGGCGAAACTTGGTTCTCCACTCAGTGACTAAAATCGTCAAGGCTGGAGGGTGGTAGGAGCGGTTGGGGGAGGGGAGAAGATACAGCAGTTTCCCCAGTTCAGGCCAGGATCCACCAAAAGTGCCTTCACCACTCACCACATGATTAAACTGATTACAAACCTAGAGCAAGCTGATACTCCAGGGAAGGCGCTAAGCAAACACCACTGTGTCTTTGTATACCCCACCCCAAGGGTGTCTCACACATTTACTGAGCACCTTTTATATTTTTTCAAGTAATTACAGAAATGAACAAACACATGCCGTTTGTGAATTGATTCTCCCTGACCCTGGGACAACCAAAAGTATCCACTCTTTTCCCTCAACTGATATATTCAACTGATGATCATCAGGAAAACCACAGTGAACTGTCATGGTGACTTTCCTTGTTAGTACGCAATAATATCCTATTGGAAACCACTGACCCTTTCCCCCCAGTGGACCTTGAGTCAGGGAATCGGAACTCACTGAGGTAGAGAGTCATGCAGACAAAGACGATGAGGCCGAACCAGGCATTGAAGAACATGCTGAAGTAGATGATGCCAATGATGATGTCAGCCAAGGTTGGTAAGATGTTAAATATCAGGTAGCTGCCAAATGGGTATAGATAGCGGTACATGAATGGAGAGGAAAGAGGCAATCCCAAAGCTCTGTTTATCCCGAGACCCTCTCTCCTATGCTTCCTTCCTTCAGATCCTGCCTATTTCTCTACCTGAGCAGCCCAGTGACACTAGTCGTGCCTCGGTCAACGACTCGGAGCACTTCTCCTGTCCGTCGTCCCAGGTGCCAGCGAAGGGCCAGCCCATGCAAGTGGGCGAAGAGACGCAGCTCTACTTGACGCGCTGTGAACTGCTGCACCCGGATCCATAAGAACGTTCGTAGGTTGCTCACAAATCCTGGGGAAGGGGCATGCACATGAGAAGCAATGGCTTGAAGCCAGGAAGTAGGGTATATTTTTTTTTTACCCCACCCCCCCACAAAACTGAGTTAAGGGAGGAGGAAGAAACAATCACGGGGGAAAGTTTGTGGCTCCTAAAATTAGAGGTAGGTTCAGAGAGTAATTACTGTACCAGTACTGCCAGTGCCGCCCCCTTGCAAGAATTTCAGTAGGACGTAAATGCAGACTATCCAGGCCAGAGAGCTCCAAGGGTCCTTTTCAGTTAGTGCATTCACTATAGAAAAAGTCAGTACCAGTTGGTAGCCACTCTCTAGGGGAACTGTCTGGAGAAACTAGCCATTCCTGCCTCCCCACCGTCCTGGTGCCATGTTGGACATGCAGTTATCCTCTCTCCCCTAAGTTATTATCACAAGGACCCTTCCCCACCATATAATGTAGGACCAGGATGCCATTCATATCCTACATTCTAGATGTACTGGATGCACCTGGTGCCCTTCTGTCCAAATGCCTTCACCCATACTGTTTTTTTTTCCCCCTGCTTCAAGTGTCCTCTCTACCAACTATGATTTTTCAAGACCCAATTCAAATTCTCCCTTTTCCATGAAGACTTCTCTGATCTCCATGGCCTTTTTCTCCTCTGGACACCCACACCCCTTCAGTTCGTATGTAAGGTTTGTAAGGAATAGCAGGTGTTTAGTACAGGTTTCTAGAATGGAACTGACCAACATGTTCAGTTCAATTCACTTCTACAGTTAAATACCTACTATACACTAAATGCTGCATCATCAGAGAAAGTGTGTGTGAGAGACAGCAGGTGGAAAAGTATGATACAATGAGCTGCGGATAGTGCTCTAAGAATATTTTAAATACTTGTGGCTTGGGGTGGGGTGGGGGGAACTGGCATCTTCCACTCTTTCCCTGGGCCTCCCCTCACCAATGTTCCTGTAACAGATTGGAACTAGCACGTTAAGGCCCCGCTCCAGGCCCATGAGTGCCAGGCAAACCAGCACAACCAGCTGCAGGGCTGGGCTCCCTTGGGGCCAGAGGTAGCCACTCAGCAGTCGCAGCTTCCGACCAAGATCTCGCCACGTGGAAGAGCGTCTAGCGGAGCCTGTAGTTGGCAAAGGCTGTGGAGGGAAAGTGTGGAATTCAGGGGCAGCAGGAGGATTAAACTCAGAAAGGTGGGGGGTGTAAAGCTCGGGCTCCCTGGAAGGTTGTCAGCAGCCTAGCCAAGCCCTGCCTCTCCTCTGCTTCAAGGACCAGTCAATCTCAGGGATTACTGGCCCCGGTAATGACCGGTCCCAGGAGAACAGTTAAGTCAGGGCTGTTTTAGAAGGACAAAGCTTCAGGGGCCATTAAGCATCCCAGAGGTCAGGAAGGTAAATGCACCTGGCTGCTCTCCACATCGCGTTCGTCTCCATTGACCTGTAAAGCATAGGTCCGACACCGAAGCCCAGGAGCCCAGAGCCCCAAGCCCAGGAGCCCTGCAAAGACCAGATAGCGCAGCACCCACAGGCCAAACTGCACCTGGAACACACGCGGGGAGGAGGGAGTGGGGAGGCCCTCGCCGTGAGTCAGCACTCCTCTGTCCCCTGCCCCACCCCCGGCCCTGCCTGCCCCTGGGCGCCACCCCACCTGTTGCCCCAGGCTGTTCCGGGACCACCACCACAAGGGGCTGTTCCAGGACACCAGGGCCAGATTCTCGGCCGCCAACGCCGCGGCCCACAGGAGGAGGAGGCCGGCGCTGTGCCCGGCCTGGCCTGCGGCCGGCGCCCGGTCCAGCAGCTGCAGCGCCAGCGCACAGGCCCCAGCGCAGGACCCAAGCAGGGCCCCGAGCAGCACGTAGCCTGGGAGGGGGGCGCCGGCGGGGACCGCGGCCCGGGCAATCAGCGCCGCCAGGGGCAGCAGCGGCTGCAACCCGCCCAGCAGCAGGTGCAGCCCGGCCAGGAAGCCCCGCGCGCCCCGGCCCGGCCCCAGGCCCAAGCCCACGGCCGGCTGGCCCCGCGGCGTGCAGAGCCTCAGCAGCCGCGGACCCAGGGCCAGGGTCCCCAGCCCCAGGAGCGTGGCGGGCGCGGCGGTGAAGAAGAAGCAGGGGCTCAGGCCGCCGCTCGTCCACTGTGGGCTCAGCGGCCCCTCGGCCCCGCAGTAACTGTCCAGCCTCAGCATGGCCGGGCCCCTTCGGTCAGCGGCAACGCATGCCCCCGGGTCTCCCGGCCCGAGTCCCCCCCGGGGCGCTCTCCCACTTAGCCCCCGTCCGCTCCCTGACTGTCCGCCTGTCCGGCAGGGAGGGAGGGGCAGGAAAAGTTCGGTGCCCCGCGGCCACCCCTCCCGTCGCTCCTCCCCCAGATTCCATTAGAGACGCCCCATTGGCCAATTCTGCCGGAGGGGCGGAGGTCACGCTGCACGCGGCGGAAACAAAACAAGAAGAGAAAGTCCACACTGCGTCACGTGACGGAGGTAGCCTAGAGCCTGGGAGTCCCGGATGTGAAAACCAGCCGATCGCAAAACCCCTCCACTACTGCGTTCTCCAGAAAACTGCGGCTCCTCCGAGCCGGGCTCCTTCTCCTCTAGCCTTCCCCCGCCTGTGGGGGGAAGGGAGGGGCAGAAAAGAGCTCGGCGCTGGGCCGGAAAAAGGGGAGCGCCGCCAAGGACACCAGACAGTGAGGGAACCACAACCGAATCAAAGTCCCTCTTTTATTCAATGCCGTCCACCTGTACACGGCCCTACAGGGTGAGCTCCGCCACTCCGCACCCAAAAGTCACCATGGCAACTCGGGCGGTGGTCACAGGTGCCCCGCGTAGCGACACTCTGAATCCCAGCATGCAACGCGCCAGCTCGGGGCTGGAGGGGAGCGGCGACCCCACCCCTGCGCGCTGCACGCTGGGAATTATAGTCCTGGTGGGTAGTCAGAATCCTGGAGCAGAGCCTGCCCCACTTCCCAAGCAGTAGATTGCGTGGGGCAGGGCAGGGGGCGACGAGCAGCAGCAGGGCTTACAATGGAAAGACCTACGGTAGCCTCCGAGGGGCCCATCTATGAAGGGGGGAGAGCCAAAGTCCTGCTCCTGCAATTAAAAAAAAAAACCAACCCAAAACAAAACAAAGCCCTCCCCCAGGGTCTCGAGGGCCGGTCTTGGCCAGAAGGAGCTGTGCAAAGCAAAAGCCACGCCCTAGCTGGGGCAAACACACAAGCCCGGGGGAGCAGGGGAGCAGGCAGGGCCAGGAGGGAGGGCAGGAAGATTCCTTGGTCACTCAGCTCCCCTCCTCCCACCGAAATGAGGAGGGGAGGCCCTAGGCACAGCCTCCTCACACTTGGCACGGGCACCCCAGTTGGCATGGTCTGGGCAGGTCAGGGAAGGAAGGCTTGGCAGGGCAGGTAGCAGCAGGGGAGAGGTGGCAGTGCTGTGGCCGGGACTTGGGGCTGGTTCCTAGCACCACACTTGGAGAGGATAGGGGTGTGTGGCCAGCAGTCAGGGTCCAGTGGTGGGGACAAAGCCAGTGTCCACTGACCCCAGGCCCTCCAGCTGCCAGGGCCAGCCTTCCACTCTCTGGAACTACTTTGAGTATAGAGTTGGCACCTCCCTTTGGCCCCACTCAGACAAACAGCACAGAGCCAGGCAGCAAATCCGGAGGCAGTCCTCCCATTCAGCTGATCTCAGCCACGTGGTGGGCAAGGACAGCTTCTGTTCAATGAGGCCCTGGGCCTTCCTCAGCCTTGGCTACACCTGCAGAGAAGGAGACTTGGCTCAGAGGTAGGTCTGAAACTCTCCCACTCCTTTGATAGTTATAGAGGTAAAGGGATAGAAAAGCTATATTCTTAAGTCTGTGAAAGGAGGCAAACTGGCAACACTATTTTCCAATACTCGAACAAACAGTGAGCACCTGCTATGTACGAGGCATGGAGCCAGGGAATTATCCTGATTCAAAGCACTTATCCTTTCTCTAAGTGGAAGTCCCTTAAATCCTCTCTCTGTTCTGGAACCTGGTGATACCGTTTTCTCAAGGATGTCTTTCATCTTCTGTCTCAAGTTAGCCCTTACCTTGTGTACCTGGGGTGGCAGCTCATCCTCAGAGCCCTCCTCTGGCACAGGCTCAGGGTGCCTTGCTGCTGATTGCCCGTCTTCTGCCCATCCCCCAAGGGGGAGGCGGGAGAAATGAGAGGGAGCCCGGGGCACAGTGCCAGAATCTAGAGAGGAAACCCACAGCCAAAGACAAAGTAAGGAAAGTGGGCAAGGAATAAGCTGATATTTATGTCAGCATGCTTTAAATGTGTCAAAGTGCTTTATGTGTATGCTCTCATTTGAACTCCATCCTGTGTGGTAAATATTCCATGAATCATTATCCCAGTATTGCTATTTTACAGATGAAGAAACTAAGGCAGTAAGTGATTTGCTCTTGACTTGGGATGCTCAAGTGCAAGACACAGAATTTGAATCCAGGATTTGGTTTTCTTTTGTCACCCTCTCCTCCCTGCACGGGCCTTGTCTCCTCTCTCTTTTTCTGCCTCACCTCAAGATGTCTTATACCTGTGATCCCCCCATAGCGTCGCTGGAAGGCCCCCTGCAGGGCAGTGGTCTCTGGGGCTCCAGGCCGAGGAGCAGCACAAGGGTAGCTAGCAGAGCGAGGGAGGGTGGGAGGTGCCCGGGACCCCTCTGTCCCCTCTTCAGGGGCACTTTCCCCACTTTCATCACTCTCTCGTCGATGCCATACATGCCGCTCTGGTTCTGCCTGGGCTTGCTGTTTGTGCAGCTATGGGCATTAAGGCACAGCATCAGAGGAGAAGGCCCATTCCCAATGACCCTTCTATTGTCAAGTTTGCCATTCCCTGGACTACTGGTTGCCAGCCCTGTGCCCCCAGTCCCAGCCTACTAACCTGGTGCATGTAGAGGGCATGAAGGCTCATCTCTGTGGAAGCATACTCAGATAGTACGAGGCTCTGCAGCTGCCCCTCCCACACGCTGCTTCCAGAACTGGCTGTCCGGGCATCCACCCTGTCCCCCATATCCCCAAAACACAATTCTTATCACTAGAGCATGAAGAGTCTGCTTCTCAAAAGCAGTGTCCTCTTCTCTCCTGCTGATCCTTCCTCCTGAGACCCAGACAAACCTCCTGGAGTCATTCCCCTCTCCTCTCCTCCCTCCCCTCCCAAAAGGACAGCCTGCTGATGAGTTCTGCCCTTCACTTCTGCTCACCCTGAGCCACTCAGAGTGCCAGGTGCTCGGGCTGTGGGGGCCTGGCTAGGTTGCAGTGGAGAAAGAACGCAGGGCAGAGGCAACTTCAGCCCGATGCCTGGAACCCTGCAGCTCCCGGGGCAGTGGTGGGCCTCGGCATGATGAACCTGCCACCACATTGGCAATCAGGCTTAGTGGCTGCAAAGAAGATGATGAGTAAGTGTAGAAGCTTCAGAGGAAGGATGATCCCCTCCTTCTCCAAGGTTCTCTTCCCTAAAGGAAGGTAGGATGGCCTGGCTCTAATCCTGCCCCCCCCCAACTCTAGATGTCACAGACCAAAGGCCCAGTGTCATCCTCTACAATGAAGGCTGGACTGGATGAGGCTCTGATGTTCTATGCACTGGGCAGGGTCTGTGAGTTTCTCTGCCAACCCAAACCACCTGGGCCCACACACAGACATCTCCATGCTCAGGCTTTATCTCCCCTACCTTCTTATCCTCAAGACATACCTCTGACTCAGATTGTAAGGACTGGATAGAAGTGAAGAGGGCATTTTCAGGAAGGGGTCCCCCTGGAGGGACCCCAGCTGCAGCTCCATCTCGCTGAACCTGTTCCTTGAGGAAACCCAGGAAGGCTGTGCTCTCACGAGGTGGCTGCCATCCAGGATTAGTGATGGCAAAGTGCATAAGCGACAGCTCTGTCTTCCCATCCTCTGCTTGCTGGTAAACTGAGGCCTCTGTCTGGCCCCCAGACATCCACTGCAGAAAGAGGAAACTGTGATTTAGAAAAGCTATGGGTCTCCCCATGCATGAACCCCTTCACCTATCCCTGCTGTGATAGCCTCCCCCTGCCTGACAGGCAGCCAGTTGGTGGCTCTGTCACTTGATGGGGGAGTAACCATCAATGATGGGGATCTTCATGAGCTCTCTTCCTCTATCACCTGAGGATGACCATGCTGTCGAACATCCATCTGAGCAAAAGAGCAGGTGTCCCCAACTCCGACAACTTCCACAGTGAAGTTTCGGAAGAAGTCGATGATTTCCAGAGCCCGTGGGCGCAAGCAGAAGATTAAGATGAGAGGAGTGACGATGGGACTCAGCAGCTCCTCCACAATGAATACCTGAAATAGAAGGGGCTGGATCAGGGGCCAGGAAAGGCTCAGGAGAGACTCGGGGGCTCCTCCCCTGACTGCTGTCATAGCCCAACCTCAGCTCCACTCACTGCCTTATACTGAAAAAGCTGTGCAAACTCATCACGGGTCTGAGAGCGGTGGGCATTGCCCTGCCAGTGGTCAGGCATGTAGTGGATGTGAGCCAAGATCACTCGAAGCAGCTGCTCTGGGCAGAACACCATGTGCTGATCGGGGATGAATGATCTGGAAGAGAGATGAGTTGTGGCAATCCCTCCCAAAGAGCCAGGTGGTTGGTCTATTCCCTGCCTACTTGCACACAGCAGAGGCCTTCTTCTGCAGCTGCCTCAGCTTCCATCTCCTCCCTCGATCTTGGGACCCCTCCTCCCGCTCACCTGCAGACAGTGACAGCGACTCCTAGGAGCGTCACAGTTGTGAGCACGTGCTCTACGGCCAGCACGTCTTCATCGTAGATAGTGAGGGCGATGAGCACCGCCAGGATGGAACCGGCAAAGAAAGCGCCATTCTTGGCCAGCAGCGTGAGAAGTGGAGAGAGGAAGCAGTTCATGTACTTGGAAGCTGGCTTGTAGCCCCTGCTGAGGCGCGACTGCAGCTCGTGCTCCAGCTCGTTGAAATGACGAAGGTAGCACCGACCGTAGAGGGACCAGCAGCGGGCACCCAGGGCTCCCGGCTCCCGTTTCAGCACTTCTGTGTAGCTGAAGAAGGCATAGAGAATCTGCCAGATCAGGATGAGGGGGCACAGCAGGAAATTGGCAATGCCAATCCAGAGGATGCGGGTGCTGAGTCGCTGGGCCAGCTCCAGTCGCTGACCACCTCGCTTGTACTCAGCCTTAAGGCTCCATTCGTTAAGAAACAGGGAGCCAGGCCCCCAAAAGAGAATGAGCTCAAAGTTGTACTTGAGGCCACGAGTGAAGAACACGACTTCTCCCAGGCCAGGCAGCCGGAAACGCAGTGGCAGAAGTGACTTGT